ATTAACAACGCGTATTTCCTTATGTATTACAAAAAAAACAAAATTTTTATTGACCACCATTTTTTTCTTAACACACTCTATAAATCTAAAAATGCCACTAAAAATATAGTCGTGAATACAGATAAGGGTACCTCTAATAAAAGGGAAATAATACCATTTTAAAATTTTAACAGGGCTATCTTCGATTTGTTTGTCGACTAGTTGGAATCCGTCACTTGTCTTTACTAAAATATTTAAACAATAATCGTCTCGATAACTCTCGTTCCGTTATTCACGTAATTGATCAGCGGACAGCTACTAGCTTGATCAAAATCAATGCTATTCCGTTACAGCTTAAGTGAGCCGTTTACTGGAGTGTCCGGCCTAATAATCAATTATTTCGACGATAGAAAATAAATTGTATATTTATAATAAAGGATTGCGAGAGAATACTACTAAGATCAAGATCAATAGTATTATTATTTTTATTTGAATAACAATTTTCATGTTCGATGTTTTCACAACATAGGCAACATGAAGATTTGGCGATGGAATATGAGCTACTATATATCTTCGAGCGTCGCGCAACACACTTTTAACTAATTCTTAGAAGAGCAATTACCGTAAACTACCGTGAATAAAGGCCGTAATTTTTGGAATAGCTGGCCCCTCACCCCCCCATCACATTAACAATCGACGTCATATACACAGTGAAAGTCGATATACAGTAACGGATTTTGCCTTATACGGACTTTTTTGCTGGGACGAAATTTTTACTAAGTATTATAGCGGACTTTTATATTAAACAGTGATATAACGGATTTTGTGTAGCGAAGTCCGTTATATCCATACTAAAGTCCGCTATATTAATATTAAAGTAGAGTCCGTTATGCACAATTAAATATAAGAATAAGATTCTTTTCCCATTTTTCTGCTACACGTATCTAACAAATTACAAACTTAACATAATGTCGACTCATAGTCCTATCAATTTAAATAATAAACGAAAAAAATGCTTCTCAGCAAAGTGATGTAAACAAACGAACTCGCGTTACCTTAACAGAACTATGTGAACGACTTAGATGTCGATGCGAGTTTTGCTTTGAAACGAATTGAACAAAGGAGGCAGACAAATATTGACAAGTTTTTTACATTCGAGTCTTAAATTGAATTTATCATGTCACACGTGTTATAACCGTGAATAATAAAAAATATATATTAATATTAAAGGCCGTAGTTATAACGGATTTTTTGCAAGTTTAGTTAAGAGTGCTGGTCCCAAGCAGTCCGTTATATCGACTTTCACCGTGTATTACTTTATTTATATGAAATATAGTTCGTGATTATGTAATAAATGGACAATTGTTACGTGACGATTCGTAGATCATTTTGCGCTGTTTTTAAACATCTCATGAATAAGAGCCCCCTTATATGATGAAGGTGGGACCTTATTCACGAGTGGATACGATTAATTATAGCGTTTTGGCACCGTTGCGGATTTTTCGAAACGCCGTTATTATTACTAAATTAATGCTTTTTGTGAAACCGAACTAAAATTAGTGACTGCGGATGCCCAATGAAAAAACAAAATGGTGATTGATTAGGGTATTTTTTTTCCAGTCCCGTAGAATTCTAACGTACAGTCAGACCTCTCTAAATGCACGTTGTCGGGACCATAGTGAAAAAAATCCAAAAGTGTGCATTTAGAGAGAGTGTGCATTTACAGAGAGCAAAATATATAATGATCTTATAAGCTGGGACTGAACCATACCGTGCATTTATAGAAAGTTTCTATAGTGTGTGCATTTAGAGAGGTTGCATTTAGAGAGGTCTGACTGTATATGATATATTATCAATCAACAAACAGAAACGGAGATGGAAAATTGACGATTATTATCTGTTTTACAGATCTCTTAAAAAAGGTAAACTTTTATTACTCCATTAATGGAAAGAGGAATGAATGTACCCTTCTTCGTTTTTTGCGTTCTGAAGGTGGCATGATGATTTTCATTGAATTCTTATTCTTATTTTCAATAAATGCCCCAGTTACAAAAAATAAATCTCATTTCCATGCACAGTAGGGTAAGTATAAGAAGCTTATTTTCCAGCAAAGATAACAAGCTAACGTTGAAATAATTTACTTGGCCAATCAAATTTCAATGCGTATATTAAATATAGTTATGGGCAAAAAGTACTTTGAATAGCGCTGAGATATTCATGTTCAAATTTAGTGCAAGCTATAATTGACTTTATTTACAAGCGAAGATTATAAAAATCTGTACAAAGTAATATGTTCGTCAAACTCGGCATATTACCTACTTCTGTAAACTGGCTTGTCTTGATTCATCGAGACTGCAAATACCGATTTTTGTACGGATAATTATATTTCAACACGCACATATCTTCTGTCAGCATTATCATCCCTTTCGATTATCATCCCTTGATCGCCTGTCCTTTTCTATTTCTCTCGTATATCTTTTACTTTTGTGCATAATAGTCTTTAGTAATATCGCAATTGACTGGGCGTAAATTTTGGTGGTTTCCACTCAGCCAACAATTCCGGCCTGATACTAGATCGATTTTTCTCTTTATTCCTGTAATACGCCTCGAGTACGCTCGACGGTATCATAATCACGGGTTGACCTTTCAATGTTTTAATTGCACCTATATAGTGCAGCGTTGTCGTTATATCTTGCACACTAATACTCGTCCTTATCGATAACTCTTCAATTGACACTTCGTCGTTTGACTGGTTCGCTTCAAGTAACACTTCTACGAGCGTTTCTGTCCAATATGCACGATATGACAATAATCCCAAGTCGGAAAGCGGCTTCTCTGGAGCTCCTATCTTTCCCTCACGTTTAGATAGCTCGTACGAAAATGAAATTAATAATTTTCCATATCCCCGACGTTGATATTGTGGCAGAGTAAGAATACAGGCAAGATTATATCCTTCTGTACTGTCTTTCTCTTTTGAAAAGTACCCAATTATATGACATCCCTTCGCGTCTCGGAGACACATTATATAGAATAGAAACGGATCGGTGTCGTAATAGAGTGTCTTATGATCGAGAAAGAGCTTGGAAAGGAGACATAGGTTGCGACAATATGTTTTCTGGCGTGCACCGTCAATCTCGAAAAATGATACGTTCGGATTAGTATCACGGTAGATCTCGTTACCCGGTGGATGAATTACTTCGCATTTTGTCAAGTGACGCCTGAACTGTCGTTCGCTCATAAAATGATACAGACAAAACTCGCAGATGTATACTATCGACGCATTAGCAAATTCGGGTGGAAACGGCGAAAAATACCACGTGTCGACATCATGTTTTCCAATATGAATTCTTTCGAGATTCTTTACGCGTGCAATTTCAGAGTGACACTTTGTCATGGATCCGGATGTGCGTAACTTTTCTATTTCTTTCTCTTTGGAAAATGTAGTAGTAGGTGTCGACTGGACACTGTTTACAGTCATGGGAGAGCTGAAGGGAGAGGGGGAATCGTAGTCTTGTGATGAGCCCTTGAGAACAAGCCTGGCCTTGCGCCTAGGGCTGGAATTATCACTCATTCGAGCAAGATCGATCCTGCCTGGGTCAATCCATTCGTCTAAGCGTTTGTTAAAGTTTATAAAGTGGACGTAGTATTCCTCCAATCCTGTCTTTGCATTCGTGCGTATTGATAAGACTTCTGCCTGTCTATATACACGCTTGTCGCTCATTGATTTATGTACGTCAACGTATACGATTGAACCGACCACGATTTCACTTGAACCAGCGCTTGGAGCTGCGGATAAAGGAGTACTTGGTAGAGACATATTGAGTACCGGAGAAGAAGGAGTAGGCGTTGTGTCTCCTGATATTATTGGCGCTGTCTGTGGTGTAGCTGGCAGTGCCATGGGAGTATACGGTTCTGTACAAATGAGAGTGGAATTACGTGCGTCGGTTGAATAGTCTACTTCCATGTGATCTGTTTGTTCGTTACCTGACGCGTCGACCGAGACAAGTGTTGTTTCAGGAGTCATATCACATGGATCAAAATTTTCAGTCGGGCTGTTGGGTATTGGAGTCTCGCAGGCAACCAAAGTGTGAGGTGAGTCTGCATGTGGGGAAGCGCAGACTGAAGGGGGTGTCTTCTCGGTATTTACCATCCTGTTGGGCGTATATTTGTAAGCGATGTAATATGTAATTAAATTCTATTCCTATACTCTTCTATATATTATTCAATGGTAGAGAGGATATTGTGAAATGATATTGTTTGTGTGTTGGACGGGGAGCCTTTTTATAGCTGTTTGAAATTCCTATTTTGTTTGGGGCGTCTTTTTTTTTTTTTTCTTTTTTTCTTTTTTTGAAATCTTCGTCGATCATTTCCTAGGAAACATATTAAGTTATTTCAGTATAACGAAAATTTTCGACGCATACCAAATGCAATCTAATGTCACGAGGTATTTATAAAATTTTGGGGTTGACCTGATTTTTGATGCAGAACATGATCGATTGTACTACAGTTGTCAAAAAACGATCACCACTTAACATACGAGCGTGGTACATAAGTTATCCAATGATTTTGTGAACAATTGTAGGGTAGACGAATCGAGTTATCGCCTCTCCTTATAACTGAAGTCTTTGGGCGTGCCAACACAACCCAACAACACGTGAAATGCCTATGTACACATACGAGCATTGGTCACTCCTCAAAGTTTACTGGTAAAACATGAAAAAAGTTTTTTCCGAAAATTTCTATTGTCCACACAGCCCACGTAAAAAACAATATGAACTTTAAAGTAATGGCACATACCTTTCTAATGTGTAACATAAATACCCACTTCATCGAACTGCAGCTTTTAAAAACGATAACAGGACTGAAAAAATAACCAATTAGCTTCAAACCGATATTAATATAAAAATCATTACGGTTTCCTATTACTGTATTACGGACCATAGAAAATTCGGAAAAAACTTTTTTCATAGTAAACTTTGAGGAGTGGCCAAGACTTTTGGAGGAGTATAGTCACACTATGGAAGCGCTGAAATACTTAACAAACCGCCGCAATTCTATGGACGTTCAAATACCTAATTGAAAACGTTAACTAAAAGGCTTCTGCCTCTCTGAGAGATTGTGCTCGAGAAAGTTTTTAGATCCGAGTGTTTCGATATACATTCGGGCAAATAAAATTTTCCCGCACTCCTTTTATAGCAACTTATCCTTTTCCTTATTTATGCAAGAACTCAATGCCCCCAGAACGAAAGGAAATAAAATTAGAATTTGTATTACAAACAAGTTGTCGCATTGAATCATATATGAGGATAGGTATGGTTTCTTTATAGACCTTCTCTTCTAATATATAGAATTCTGCCACATATTTAATGCAGAAAATACCTGAATAAACTATGAGGTCTTGGTTAAAACCCCTTTCGTTAATAAACTTCATCTTCCTATTAACTATAAAACTCACTGATTTATAACTATAAATAGGGTTAGTATTATGAAGAATAGTGATATGATAGTTCTATTAAGAAAAGCTAACGTCTCTTCTCGGAGATAGTGATATTTATTAATGGGCTCAGCTGAAGGCGATGGACAATCGTGTTAATACGAAAACATTGGATTATAATACACCTCTTAGATGCACTTGCAACTGTGCTATAGGAAACAAGTTATTAGTCAGTACATCGCACGCTAAAATTGATATTTTCCTAAGTTATGACACCAATTGACGCTCCATATTAGTATTCAAACAAGAGAAGGACAAGGAAAATTGGCGGATAAGCATGTATTATGATGGAATATAAGTTAATTCTCGCAGCCTTGACGACACCGCAATAATATTTATTATCTTGGCCCACGCAAGTGCTATTCAAGACAGTGCAGTATATAAACACGTTAAAGGCCCAAATGGACATCGGTTTATAACAGAAGATAAATAATATATCCATATATATATTACTAACTACGCACAATGCGCTGATTCCTCCGTAATATACGCCACACTCACTGCGGGAACAACTTGCATTGTTATCACAAAAAGATAAACTTTTTTTTTAACGGTTATAAGCTTATCGCACGTCATGCATTTAATGTCGGTAACGTACTTGTATCGTTTTGAATGTAGAATTATCGTCAAATTTGTCTTGTAGATAAGTTTCTACGTCTTTCGGATGTCCTCTTTAAAATATCTATATAGGTTATAGACAAGCTTGCATTCTGAGAACACATGACTGTCCCGTGGAGGATGCACGTGCCACAATGACCAGCCCTCTAAATATGCCGCAGATCTCGTTGACAGAGTTTCTATTATCGCAGCAATGAATGATTCGTACCATGATCGTGAGCCTCGTAGACTTGACCTTCAAATCATACCGAAAGAGGGTTTGGGCTGGTTTCGTCTCGGTAAGAGAGGGAAGCGTGTTCTGAAACTATATATTATACAGTGCTAGCAGTTCATGTTTACTATTTGACATTCAAGGTGTATCCATTTGGGACATAATAAACTCGCTTCGCGAACAAGCGATAGCCTTTCCCACTGTCGACTTCAAGTACAACGAAGAGGTAGTATTTCAATTGGCTATCTTGTAATTCATTACTTTATCATGACAAATATCACTGCCCCGCTCACTTATCGGCTTATTTCAACCGTAGTCTCCATTAACAACAGATCTATTCTTATCGTTGCCAGCCAATGGCATCAATCTTCGCTTCGATGGATCGACGCAGCGATTGAAGTTAATCGAAGTTTATGACTTTTCTAGATTGAGATTGACATACAATGAGAATGAAATCAGGTGAGGAAGCTGATTTAGACAACCCATAGATAACCATATTCGACTCAACGATATTTTTGGCTTCTGTAGTTCGAGTAGAACAAAACCCACTTCAGTATTAGTTTATAATAGATTTGGGTACGTATCTATGATTGTTGGAGGCGTGAATATTTTGTAGGTTTTATTAATCTGATGTACTTTGACTTTTTAAGACCAACGGTTCGTGGCGAATTTGAAATATCAAAAAATGAATACACGTTGAATTATCCGGTAGGGATGTTACACATGTATCTAGACTCACGTCACATGCGATTAATGATTTACTCAATGTTCGGTCCGTCTTTTTCTTCCTTTCTCATTTAGGGCGTATCGTTTATCTTCCTCATTCCAAAAGAACATTCGTCTCTCTATACACCCGAGTCATCTGGTAGCAAAGATTTGATTTGGTATGAGCTTTTTCAAATGAACGCATGTCAGTATCATCGAAAACTCTAATCCGCGTGAATCTCTTCAGATATTCCGCTAGAGCTACCTGGCGGGACATCACCACTACTTACGCGTCTATACATCTACCAAGGACCAAATTTCAGAACGCCATCCGAACCCGTGTTGATAAGGAGCGCAAGTAATGAGAATATTGGAGGATATTGGTCGGATGCTGGTGAAGTTGAAAGTGTTATTGCTGAGGTATTTGATTTTGGACGTCAAGGAAGAACCTTACATTACCAATCAAATTTGGTTATTCTCGTTATTATACTTTATGCTCATTATTGTGTAATGTTCATACAGTTGAAGAAGGGCGTTACGGTTCATTTCTTTCCTACAAGCAATATGACTAGACAGTCAACAGAAATTCTACTGAATGTTACGACGCCTCAAGACTTGTTAGTTGAGATTGGACCACCATTACGTACTTTCTATAAAGAGGAGGATCAGATGAAAATACATTCCGAAGAAAACGGTAAACCTGCTGATTATGGTAACCACATGACCAATGCAGCTGTTACAGACACGGCGGTACCACAGGGAGAAGGTAAAATGTGAGAGGCAACTAGTACTATCGAAGGTGTAACATTATTTATTTATATCTTAAGACATTGCCATTCTTATGAAGACGGACATACAGATTACTTTTACAACTACTTCCATCTCGGCTTTGACGTCTTGTTTGATGGATCTACTCATCGATGTAAGAAAGTGGTATTAAATGGCAATGTACCTGGACATTATGATTTTCAGCGGTAATTATCAACTGCTTAAAATGTATGCCAAATGTTGAAATTGAATACTGGAGCCTCTCTCACATGAACCGTGTAACATCATCCGGATAGATACAAGCGATGTCCATATAAGATACTGGTACCATCAAGTGTAGGATCACCTACTAGTGATGAACCTGACCAAGGTATAGTTCTTTATTTATTTTGATAACCGAGTTCTCTTGTCTTAAAAAAAAAATTTTTTTATACACAGCTGCACAATTAGACGTAGAAGATATAGATGAAATTTATGAAAACAACCATATTACATCAGAAATGAAGGTATGGATCTTTGTGTTAGTATTGGTATTTCTTTTTTATTCACGATCCATTCTTATATACTATTTTCCTGTCTATGTAGATTGAAGAGATTGATCAACGTCTTGGCGGTCCTTTTCCTGGTCGGCCATTAATTCTCAATCGGGGATCAATTGGACAGAATCCTTTTGGTCCAACCGAATTGAATGGATATGACGGAGCTGTCTTTGAGGTATATATTATATTCCATCAGGTGCATTATGTTGATTATTCATTGTCCATTTTCTAATATCCCTTCTCTAATATCTCTTCTCGAAGGTTATGAAGAATCACCATATAGCAACCGTCACGTTATTTTGAATTGATGGATAGAGTAAACAAAACAATTACTTCATACACTATAATCCTAACTTCAGCTATGTGAAAGCTATTCTGCGTAATCTTTGACTATTTATTAATGTTCGAATCAAAGATGCTTTTGAACAATAATAAAACTTTCATTTTGTTTTGATGTGCTTGACAATGTCAGATGAGCTCGCTTTTATTTCCTCTTCCCTAGTTATTTTGTGTGGCTAACATGCTCTCAACATTCCCGTCACTAACTATTATTTATCTTATGCGTTCAATAAGAAGGGTATGAGCATAGGTTGTGTCGATAGATTGACGCTTTCCGTTATTCGCCGCTCTAATCAATAGTCCACATTTTATGGATAAATTATGTACAGTCAAACCTCTTTATACCGATATTCGTTTACCCGAATAGTCCTATAGTATTAGATTGTACCGACAAACTGGTTATACCAATAAAAATGGTCGGTGCCACTCGTATCAGTATAAAGAAGTTTGACTGTAAATATGTTACTTATTAATATTCAATCTTTAAATAAAAAACCAATGCTTTGTATTATTGTGAAAAGGCCCCATTGCGTCATTGATTAAGCCACCTATATTTCAGGTTAGTTGATTTGAGAAATACAAAGTGAAAAAAAGTAGGGATATGCCACGGGAACAATAAAAGTTCCAACAAAAAAAACAACAAGAATATGTACTGTCCTGGAAAATAATAATGGCGGTCGGACTTTTTGGAATAAAAATTTTTTTTACAAAGTAACTTGTCCTAAAATTTTATATTTAGAATATTTATAAGTTTATTATTATTATTATACACTGAAAAAATTAATACATTGTATGCCCTCCATCTCAATACAGGATTTAATACGATTTGACATACGATATTAATGCGACTTTATTTCCAAGCTACGATATCCTGTTGACAGGCTCGCTAAAGCTAGTTTTAACATG